TGGACCGCCGTACCAAAGGGTGAGAATGGACGTGATAGTGGTAGCGGCAACAAGCTCAGTCGCTTGCAGCCTCGGACAGCCGTCCGGGATCGTCTGGGATCCCTCAGCGGTAGGCTGAAGGGGCCGTTGACGGCATCGACCTCTGGCACTAGCCAAATGAGGGACATGCTGCCCCAAAACCATCGGGTACAGGAGCGCGCAGGCGACCGTGGACGTCCCGTCAAAGGCTCCTCGTTCGCCAGCCACCCCTCCATCGCCACGCTTTTGGGTAGTATGTGTGTATGTACGACGAGGACATGCCGCAAGGAAGGGGCAACCTTCAAGAGAAAGGCTCCTTTTAGGGCCCAACGCCGCGGGGCAGTTCCGGATATGGAAATAACAAGGTGATGTGACGGGGTCGTGACAGGAAAACGAAAAAGGGTCCATGACATATGAGCGGATAAGTCTCGAACTTCCGCAAGGCCCAGGGACGGAGACAGGAAATAGTACTTTGTTGCGCAACTCCAGCTTGGGAGAAGCAGCCAGACGATGGGCAGGTAGGCCGGGGGTAAAGTCCCATCTGGAAAAGGAAATAAAGAACGGGTATCAAGCGAATGGGAAAGGCGTCAAGCCGGACAGAGGGAGCAGGCGAGCTAGCGCCATAGCTTTGACCGAGCCTTCGGTAAAGCAGACCACCGGCCGAAACAAGATGCAGGACGTACAAAAATGTGGTATCTATCGGAGGAGGGCAGAGACGAGGAGAAATGGGTGCAAGAGGGGTCCAAATAGGAGCATAGCAGGCAAAGGATGCAAAGGATGTAGAACAGAGACGCATAACGGAAGATTGCACATACCTAGAAGTCGAGCCTGACATCATCATGGCCTGTGTCGCCCGCTTCAACAGGTCGAATCCGCCTGTGTTTGTGTTTGCATGTGCACCCTCGGAGCCGGACATGGTTGCTGGCTGGTGTCTTTGTGTGACGGACGGTGAAGGTGAAGGCCTAGTCGAGGCAGAGGCCTGAATCCTTGGTTGACGTCAAAACAGGCCCGTGATATCGCCGCGATGCCGAAGGATTGGTCGACGCAAGAGACTGGTGGCAGTTGGGGTGAGTTCTGGCGCAGGTGTGCGTGTGTGTGCGTGTGTGTGTGTGTGCGAGAGAATGCGGTGAGAGTGGTGAATGTGGTTTGTGAGAGGGAGCGGCGGCGAGTGAGATGCGGCTGCCGTGGCGGTTGCGGGTGAAGTGATTTTTCGGAGTTGGAATTGGAGACTTGATTTTTTTGGCTGGAGGGGGTTGAGAAGTTGAGAGAGTGGGATGGGGTGAGAGAGCCGGCCACGCTATCCGTAGGAGATCGGGTTGTGTTCAGGTTGTGTGCGTGGGAGTGGAGGCGGGAGGGTGGAGGCGGTAGGGGAGGAGGGGGAGAGAGCACAAGAGGGGAAGAAGGCGTGACTCTTGCCTACTTTCTTTTTTGTATGGCAGAGGTGACCTGGATTGACTGCGCACAGCGCGGGCTGCCCAGCTGTGGAGGCAAATGCGCTGTGCAAGCTGAGGTGCGCAATTCGAGTCCGTCACCAATGGAATAAGGTAAGGTCCAATACCAGGCCGGGTAGGAGGACAGAGCGGCTGCGAGCAGTGAGGTATCCCGTGGTAGGGTATTTTGGGTATCGTGTGAAAGTGGGTCAGCAGCGACAGCGTAGCAGCCCAGCCAGTGTCCAATTGTCAATGGAGTGAGGTGGTCTAAGGCCCGAATGGAAGCCAGGGAGTCCGTGATGATGGTGATGACAGCGTCCAGTGAAAGCGAACGGATGTCGGGAGGGGCTGGTGGTGAAGTGGCACCCGTAGTCTACTGCGCAGAGGGTTCCGGTTCGTGAGGAGAAACGACCCGATTCTAGGAACCTGGAAAAATTGGGTTCGAGGTGGAGACGGAGCAGTCGAGATGAGGTCAAGCATGGGGAGTTAACCTTTGATGTGAGTTGAGAAGTTGGCCTGTTAGGCACCCCAAGTATTTCGTGGGGTAGTAATAAAGCTGAGTGAGTGGTCGTCGGTCCGGTGAGATGAGGTGAGTGAGGAGGATGCGAGCATGAGCGTGGGCGTGGGAGGAGAGGAGGTGAGGCGGAGTGAGGTAAGAGGCGTGGGAGGAATTTGGGAAGGGGATTCAAGCCTGTTCTCTTTGCAAGTGGGGTCGCTGTGGAAGGTAGGTGCCTGTCATGGAGGCTGCGTCCTACCCGATATCCGCCTGGATGTGGTTCCCAGATGGTGACTTCGGTGCTGAGGTTGTTATATGGGAAAGCCCTGCCCTGCCTAAGCGCATGGGGAGCGCATGGGGCAAAGGTTTAAAAAGAGGATGGGAATTCCGGGCAAACCAGCCTCAGCTCTCACGTCGACGATGTCAGGGAGAGGAGTCACAATCTAAGGTGCCGGTCCAGGTGCAAGGTAAGGTACATAGTATGGCAAGTGCCTAGGTAGCGCGGCGGCCAAACATAACTCCACACACAGCCTGAAGGGTGCCTTGGTATCGCATACCTAGTAACTTACCTTAGGTACCTACCTAGCCTCACCTGAGGAACCTTTGGTGAGTATGATACAGTGCAAAGGTAGATGTGAGAGAACCCCGGAAAAGAGAGTGAGAGAAACAGCGCCATGGCACATGGGTAGGAGAGAGACATTCATTTCAATGGAAGCCGCCCAGTTCACTTGCCTGCTGTCTTGATCCTCCACTCCGTGTGAGAGGATAGATACCTAAGGCACTCTGAACTCACTTACGTGGGCGGAGAGGGTCAGGAGAGTATCCGTACTTGGTCCGGAATGCCGTTTTAGGGAGTTTAAGACCTTCCCAAGTGTTCTGGATTGCCTCCACAGCATTCCACAAATCAGTGGCCAAACCGCCGGTGCTACCGGACTCTGTGCGTCCTACCTACGTCCCGGCAACAATCAAAATGCGACTGGCTGGATGACTGCATCTTTTCCATTTACCCCGAGGACTCAGGAGACAAGTACCTAGGTAATCATGCTAATCAATCTCATCAATGCAGTTGCCTTTGTACGCCTAGTTAGTCACTCAAAGTTCATGAGGCACGGATACCTCGCGCTGCATCTCGTCGACATCTGCAAGTTGCTGCCCCGGAGCCGGTGCAGGTGCAGGTGCGGGTGCAGCTCACCCCGCCTGCCTCTTGCATGCGAATCCCTTTTTGGATCCGTCTCTCCTTCCATCCCCCGTCTGTCTCTCGGCGCCCTCCGCCAGAAGTATCTATGAGACATGCTACCTATGCTTTGATATCTTCCTTAAGGTAGTAGTAGGTACCTCAAGGGTGTGATTCAGTCCCATCACCAGGAGCTTACCTTTATCAGTCAGTCGCAAACACAATACACTCTGCCTAGAGCGCCATCGCGCCACACTTTGGCTAGGCTTGCACCATTGCAGGGGCATAGTGTTCCAGGCGACCTTCTAGAACGGATCCAACATCTATAGAGGAATGTTCAGCGCCCCCGCGATTTGACCGAGATGTGCAGACCTGCCACCTCAATCTCCACGACATCATCTTCGGGTCTGCGCGACACAGGTCATTACAGAGAAAACGCCACGGGGAGACGGCGCAATCTTCGCGGTACTTTCACCATCGCGTCGGCGGACAAGACAGGCTTGTGGGGGCTTTGCCGGCATCCCTCCGAGACCGCCGACCCAAGGGATCCTCCTCGGGAAACCAAAATGTCGACCCGCCAGCGGGCCATCCCCTCCATAATCCATTTAACAAGGGCGAGCATACCGCCGGGGTGGGTGGGCTTGACGGACAATGTGATTGACAAGGTGGATGAGTCAAGAGTCTCAACGAACCAACATCAACATCAGCTCTTCCAGCGACGCATTGGCTGCAATACAACACCATGCAACAATACTCTGTGTCTACATTGTACGGATACCAAGTACAGCTACCGACACTCCAGGGCACGCAGTACAAATCAATCCCATACAGGCGGCCTTGCTATCCTATCACTTATCGGTTTACCTCCCACGGCCACACCTGCAGCACAATTGTGATCCAAGCGTGATCCATTACTTACATCGCCGAGCCAAGAAGGGGCTCTGCTTCGGCCCTGTCCACATCCACTCACCAACCTCTACTTCAGGAAAACCGCCACTGCCTTCAGTCCTCCATGTTGTCAGCTTTCGACGTGGTACAAGGCATCGCATGCTCAGCCCATTGGTCTAGCTCGCGCTCGCAGGTTCGCCGATCTCAAAACAGCTGAACTTTCCATGCCAGAGGCGACGGGTTTTCCTGAGCAAAAGGAATTTGACGGCATTGTGGCGGCGCAGTCTGGCCTATCAGTTGATGAGTTGGAAACGACTGCTGTTGAACCGCTGACCGGCATACCTACCAGTACAGTGCATGGCTTATCCTACCTCGCCACGTGCTCGCGTACGGTAGAGTGCTGGGGAGCGTGGGAGCTCGGCCTCGTCAATACCGAACCGAGACAGTTTCTCTAGCTGAGGAAGTCAAGAGCGACACAATCACGCCAATGAGGGGAGGTCCGTTGCAAACTGCGCCAACTTGCCTAGAGACACTACATCATCAGCTGTTACCAGCATTTGAGGTAACAAGGGTATAGAGCCGGCATGTTGGCTAGCATTTTCCACTTTGCTCTTCCCTCCTGACCTCTACACTAAGCTAGTCAGTCCATTTCACCTGATGCATCCGTCCTACCACACCGACAGATCTTCAATTATCAGTCAACTCCATGCGTCAAGGTCTTGCAAGGACCACTGGCTTCGTGGCGACAACTCGCAAATCCGCATCCTGTGTGACCTGAGGTGGCATTGCCTCGCCTTTCTCTACCTGTCACCCCCATTCCAGATCCATGTATCGGTACTGTTGCACCAACCACTGCGACCATAGGCTTACACTGCGGGATGCCTTTCGAATCCTGCTTTATTACACCTCAAGTAGCTACCTGCGCTGCGGTTCACTTAACAGCACCTCGATGACGAGGTCCTTAACCCCGACATTCCCCCACGCCTGGTACAAGATGGACGCAAGTCCAACGATAACCGCCAATTGGTCTTCCCCGCCGTCCATCTCTGGTGGAGATGCCGTCCCGCCGCTACACTACAGGCTACAGCGGTGGACTCTACTGTGCCAACCGCCTCTCCTTCGTCCACCTCAACGTGGGCGTGGGACCACCAACTTTGCTCCCCGTCCCATCCGACCCGACGTTGCCCGTCATAAGAAACACAACGGGTTTGCGGGTTTGCGGGGTTTTTTTTTTCAACGAGTCATTAAGCTCGCTAAAATGCCACTCAGCCGCTACAATAGCCAACCTCATGCCTTGCGTAGCCGCTCAAGTGCCTCAAACCGCTATACGAGAAACGCTAGCGACACGAGCATGCTTAATCGGAAAGAATGCAGCGCATGCCTGGGAAACGCATGGGAAGATGGATTATGACTCCTCGGCACAGAGAATTCCGTCTGATAACATATATGAAAAGAAAAGCCGACACTTTCCCAACAAGAAAAGCCCAACCTATGCAGGAGTCTCAAGTACATGGACCAATGCCAGATACAGCAAGCGAACCTCTCCTACCGAAGCCCCGTGCTAATGTACATTCAAACTCTCCTTCAAGTCTTCTCTACCGCGCGACCGCGCGTCTTTTACCAACGTTTCGCAACCACAAAATATCCTGAGCGATACTCGTCCGAAGAACACTCGACCCGACCCGCCGGATCTGCACCTCGCCCATCCCGGTTTGTCACTCGGCAAAGCAAAGGTTTCGTCCTAGCTGTGGCCCGAGTTCGTTATTGACATACCCCCTCTCGGAACCCACATGCCGATTGTACGTGCTGTTCTGTACGACCCTTCGTACATCTAGAGTCCCTGTCTCACATGAATACTTTCTACATTGTGGCTGGTAGTTTGGCATCACCGTGCTTGGTACGCGCTTCTGGCAGCTCAAACAAGATCCCGGTCGGCATCGATAGATGTCTGATAATTATACAGGCTAGGTCTGAAGGAGCTTCACTTGTCGTTGGGAGCTAAATGCGTCGAGATGCAAGCTCGACGTCAGTGCTTCCGTGTTCTGCCGATGAGGGGTCGATGCCTTTCGTTCTGCCGTGTGCCAAAGCCGGACGATCTAGATCGATCTGAGAGAACCATAGCTATGTACAAGGTTTGGGCCAACGTAATTCAAGTCATCGACCTTCTTTCATAGGTTTTATGCACTGGGAATGTTGGACGGATATATGATCGCCTGAGCAGCTTGATTTCCACCCAGGCCAGCTCCAACAAATGTTGCGGTACTAAACTACACACAACAAGGATCCATTCTTCCTCTGGTGTCTGTGTGAATTAGCTTCTATGCATCTGGACTATAATCACATAAGAGTAGTCATATTAATTGGTATCTCATCAAAGTTAAGCCCACCATGTGTAAACTATCCGAGCAACTGATCTCGTCATTATCATCAAGGTTGCAAGGCGCAAGTTCAACCTTGGTGTGCAGGCTTTTTGCGTGAATGATTAACATGCCCTATTAGTTTCGCTTCTCAGAACTGCTTGAGCATCTATCGTGTTTTGTTTCCTCGTGCTTGAGCTTCCAACACGCCAGCCACCTTGGCAATGCTGTTCCTCATGTTCAGATCCCAGGGATATACCGCTGATCAGATATCGTTGTTATAGCAGTGGAAACCAGACTCTATGAAAACACGGCTCTCCCCGTGTGGGATCTCCAGGATCTATGCGGAATCGCTCCATGTCCATATAATACAATGAAAACGCCACCGATATGCTTCCGAAAGAACCAGGCGAATAATAGTTGCCTTTTTTCTGTATCGAACGACGTCCAAACGATGGGGGGTATCTCTCTAATTGCCCTTGTGCTTTCTGTCTTCCACCAAGTCAGAATTCTTCAAGTCGAACCCCGTGCCGTCGAAAGTAGGCAACCAACAACCAACCTCCTTAATCTTCAGATGCTCATCACTGCATCTTCACCTTTAAGTGGATCTTCTTCTTCGGAACAATCTGGCGATTCCTCGTCGTCAGCGGGACCTTGACCCACACGCCGTTGTTCGCCTTCACCCAGGTGAGGTTCCGCGTCGAGAGGAGGATCTTGGGCTTCCTGTGCGTCGTCGCCGCGAGGGAGGCCGATACGGAAAAGGAGGAGCAGGCGTTTGTGCGCGCCGCGTAGAGGGAGACTTGTTGTTGGTGCCACTGGAGGAGTCGGGGGCTGGGAAGGTATCTTGCGGTCCGGACGAGGACGATGTCGGTTTTCCTGGGTGGGAAGATTGCAATGTCGGAGGGGCGGTGGTGTTGGCGGCGGCGGTGGGTCTCGGACTTGGTGGTGATGGGTTTGGGTAGTTTGATCTCGGGGACGACGACAGCGCCGGCGCCGATGGGTGAGTTTTTGCTTGTGGTTTGGGGGTTGGCCATGGTAAGATCTCTGTTGGAGATATTTGAGGTCATTTAGTTCCCTGATGAGTTTTTGTTCGACGGTGAAGTTGGTTGGTGTGATGTCAAGGTAAATAATCGATGCGCCTGGTTTGAAAGCGCCTGGCGTTGTTGAAGTGGTCGAGATCGAGGAGGATGAAAAGCCTTTGGTGGTGATGTCGAGTTGTAGACAAGATGGGCTCGTTCAACCCGTTGATCTTGAGATTTCGTTCTTGGTTTGTTTCACTTCTTGTCATTTGAAATAAGAGTATTGGAGGAGAAAGAGGCTCAAGATTCGGAACCGAGTCTTTTTTATATTCTCCAAGCTAGAAGACTGATTGTCGAAGGTGAACAAATTGCTTTTGCCTGATTTAGGAAAGTAGTTACACAACGACGGGTGATCAAGGCTTCAGACGGAAATCGGGAATTTATCACTGCCTAGCTGGCTAAGCTGCTGTTTGAGGCAAAAAATACGTGGGTGGTGAGAGAGGTGAATGACCATGACCGCGAACCCATCTGGTCCGCGTGACTACCTGCCCATTCACTCAAAGGCTCCACAAGGCTCTAGCAGCGACCCCCATCACTCGACCGCTGAACCAGGTAATTGTCTTCCAGATCAAGGCAGTTCCTCCCATGACTTCCATATTTTTGACAATTGAAAGAATGTAGGTTTTATGAAACGTTTTCTTTCAGCCAGAATGATGAAACTCATCTATTTCAGAATCCTACATGCAACTAGACAAAGAGTTGATACATTACAAACATCCACACACATAAACGCGCACATACAAAAAGAAAAAGGTCACAATCCTTCAAGACCCTTCAAGACCCTTCTTTTTCTTCGCCTTTCTCAGTTGCAGATTCGAGCATTGGTCAACGACATCTTCAGCCCCCCCAAAATATTAAAATAAATAAAATGACGTAGACCGAGGGAAGGCTCTCGCGCCCGCCCCTTTAGTTTCTGGCCTTGTACTCGGCAATGATCTGGTCGATCCGGCGCTCAGCCTCCGGTGTCGTCTTGGGATTATTTCGGGGATCAGAGCCGCTTCTTGGAAGTAACGGGTCGGGAAAGTGTTCTGTTTTGCCCATGTGTAAGCTGAGCCCCGTCCTCCTGACTTGGTCCGCCGATGCCGTTGAGACAGCCCCTTGAAGCAGTTGCTCCTGGTTCACGGAGGGAAGACTGGCTTACTGGGGTCGAATCTCTGGTCGAGTAGTTTCGACTTGAAAGACTCAAACTCTTCTCTGAACTTCTTGTTGTTCCAGCTCGGCGCCGCTGCCGCCGCCTCCGCCGCCTTGGGGTCATCCAGGGCGCTTCCTCCGGCCTCGGAGCTGGGGGTCTGGAGCTTTGCGCCGCCGGCTGCCATTGCTGCTGCTGTCGATTTCCACCGCAAAGGAAGATGCCGAGCTCTGTGTATTTCGGGCATAGACTATGAGTGCCTGTCCACGTATATATTTGGGGTTTGTGTCACCGCTCACCGGTTAAACTCACCTCCAATGTCCCGATTTGGCAATGGGCAGATGCGCCAAGAGCTGGAAATGGAGATAGGAGACTTTGGACAATGGCTAAGGACGGCAACGAGGGAGGATCAAAATATGAAGCTGCTGTTTCAGAAATTGGCTTTTTTTTCTTTTTCTTTTTTAAAGAAACAAAAGTTGATGAGATTCCGTCGCAGCTCTGCTTACGCGCCTGTGTGAGATAAAACCTAGGTGAAAGTGACGGAGGGGAATGGACGTCGTCGCCTGCCTGTCACCCGGCCCGGCCAACCCCACCATTCCAAGGATGTTTCCAAGATCCGATGCGCCTGCTGACCCCTGGTGCCCCTCCACACAAGCCCGAAGGGGAGACTTTGAGGGTACATGGTTTCATCCCACTTCAGCGCAAAAGTTAAAGTATTTGCAGTGTACTCGGTTCAGCTGAGGGAAGCTAAAAAGAATAAAAAAAGAAAAATAGCCGTCCCTCGACACCTCTGACCACGGCACAGCCAACAAGGGGCCTGTTAACCTCATTTCATCCCACCTTCTTTTCTACCATCGTTGTGAGCATCGACTTTTCCAATCCTTGGACAACCTGCTTCCCTTTTTGGTTCTTTTGTGTGTTCACCTTTATCATTTACATCCATCCAATGCTACTAAATTAGCCTGGATCACCGCTCGCCTCGTCACGGTCACAGCACGCTCTTCCTTCCAGGTTTCAGCTCCTCACTGACCGCCCACCCCAATAAGGGCACCTCACCTTTGCAGGCAGCCTTCAGCACCCAGTGAGGCTGCTTTCCCCCACCATCACGGTCACATTATCGCAGAGCGGGCTACCACACAGCGAATTGCAAAAATGGTCAACAAGGGCGCTGTTGTGCCTGACGCCTGGGAGGATGACGACTGGGAGTCCGCAGCCGACAAACTTGATGCCCAGCTCACAGAGGTACAGCCTGAACCGCAGGTACTGCTGACCAAGGCGGAGCGTCTCGCCCAGCACGCCGAGCAGAATCGTAGGCTTTGGGAATCGGCGTATGTCTTCCCAGACTTTCCCATACCCCAGCCCACAGCCTTTTCTTCGACCTATCCCACATACTCCCATTGGCGGCGATCGTCGCAACAAGGCAGTAGATAACATGATAATTGACCCCCTCTCAACAGCGACTCCCCCGCGCCCACGCCCTTGACCTTCCTCGAATCCCAACCTTCAGTGCCCCTCGCCACGGGCTTCAAACCCCAGGTCAAAGTGCTCAGCCGAAAACCCGCGCCCCGAACCATTGCCAGGCGCGACCCCGTCACCGGCCTCCTCTCCCACCTCTCCCTCGCCGACGACGACGCAGACGACCAGCACGCTGAGAAGAAACCGCAGCTCACGCCCGAGGAGATCAGAGCCAAGCAGCAGCGCGAGCTCGAGGAGAAGCAGCGACGGTACGAGGAGGCGCGTGCAAAGATCTTTGGCGAGTCGAACCCTTCCTCCGGCGCTTCGAGTCCGGGCACCGTCACCCCGCCGAGGGGAGGCGCCGAGAACGAAAGAGGACCAGGCGGTGGAGGGCGCGGCCGCGGTAGGGGACGCGGTCGTGGCGGCGGCGGTGGCGGAGGCGGATACCGAGTGAATGCGAACCGACAAGAGGACCTCCGACGACCTGGCAGCAGCAGGTCTGACGCCGTTCGTGCCGAGAGCGGCCGCGAGCTCTATGATCCCGGGTACGCGCCCCGAGGCGGCTTCGGGATGCAGAAGCGCGGGGGCGATGGCTCCAACCCGCACTCTGGGCGATCCACGCCGAGAGAAGTCGAGGATCAGCCCAAGCAGGCCATTCGAGCTCCACGCGGACCGGATGGGACTGGAAGAGGTGGATTCGGCTTCGCCAAGCGAGGCACCAAAGAAGGATGAATTATTACTATCCTATTGCCCTTGAAAAGAAAGAAGGAGAAAACTACCAGCCTCCGCCAATCTTGCCCGCCAGCTGAACGACGCGCTCCGTGTCGCTAGCCTTGTCCTTGCCCACGTCGCTGACTACCTCGCGATACGTGGTGAGGGCCAGTCTCCCCAAGTCTATGCCAGTACTTTCCGCCCAATGCGCCAGGGTATCTCGAATGTAAGAAGGCGAAATTCCATCGACGACATCCGCTCGCAGGTCGCCACTTTGATCTGCTACACTGTCCTCGCCGTCAGAGTCCTCTGCTGAAAAGTAGGCCTCGTCGACCTCGGCCAAAAAGTCCTTCTGCTCGAGAGGACCTGGCTTGGTCTCGTAGCCCTTGCGATCGACGATGACGGGGTCGTCAACTTTGATCTGCCCGCCGCCGTTGGTGCAGCCGCCGGGGCAGGCCATGACCTCAACGTAGGCGTACTCGAGTCCGGCGGACTTGCCGGTGGGTCTCCTGGCGGCTCCAAACGCCTTGCCGCCGGGCATACGGGATGGTCGCGCCGGCTTCAGCTTGCGGACCAGATTTTGGATGTTGCGGAAGCCGTAGTACCTCGCGGCCTTGAATATCGGGTCTCCCGTGGCGGAAGCGACGACGAACTCCACGACATCGGCGTTGCGTCCGCGCACAATTTGGATCTGGGAATTAGGGTGTTTGGAGGCCACGGTCTGGAGGACGAAGTAAAGGTTGCCGCCGGATGAGCCCGCGGCTACAGACGAGCGGTGCGCCCCATGGGCCGGGAAAAGGAATTTTTCGAGCCTCGCGTCTGGGAAGGAGGTGCGTTGGAAAACGGGTTTGCTCCGTGGTAGATTAAAGAAATTGAGCCCCCTTGACTCGGCCACCATGAGGACCTCCTTGCTCGTGATGACGCAGTCGACGTCGCGGACGCCCCTCCCCGGCATTCCGTCTCCGCCGGGTCCCCACACCGAATCAGTGAGCTCTTCGCGGCTGGCCTCGAGCTTCTTGTCGAAGCACGGCATGACGGCCAGGTGCCAGATCCTGCTTGGCGGGATCCCAAGTCTTTTGCTCAGCGTGGTCTTGATCAGCGTGCCCATCAGCGCCTGAGGCGACTTTACGCGCGACAGGTGCGGGAGGACGTAGGGGTGCGTCTTTTCGGCGTAGCACACCCAACCGGGACACGAGGACGTGAGGATGGGCTTTGTCGCGGGCGCCGACGATGACAGTGCGCCCTCGGTGCCACTACCGCCGCCCAAGACCTCGTCGGTGCCGAGAACCAGACACGCCTCGCGCGCGACGTTGGTGTCCAGGACCCATGTGAAGCCGTTGCCGTGCTTGCCCCCGCTCGCGAGGCCTTCTTTCCCGGCGAACAGCGCCTCTAACATGTATCCAGCCTGTCTCTCCGTCGTGCCGTTCCCCGCTGCGGCGGCCAGACTCGCCCTCGTCTGCGGGGCGACGCTGGCGACAAAGAGCCTGCGGTTCTCGTCCTCGAGCCCCTCGACGCGGAACTGGCCCGTGGATGGGTCCGGGCCGACGATGCGCAGCGCGGGGCCAAAGTCGAGGGTGTTTAGGACTTCGGTGTGGGATTGCATGCTCACGAGGACAGCCTCGGCGGAGGTGACGCAGCCGGAGCAGGCGAGGCAGTCTGTGAGGGAGATTTCGGCTGGGGGCGCGTTGCTAGCGGTGTTGGAGCCGGGTTGGCCGTCGAGGATGACTTCATGCTCCAGAGAGGAGTCTGTTGGCGGAGGGGGAGGGGCGGAGGGGAGGGTCTCGATTGGTTTGATGCAGGCGACGCCTGGACTTATGAAGTCGTTGAGGTCGTCTGCTGAGAGGATTGCGCTCATCTTGTCGGTTGTTTGCGAAGTGTGTCGTGAGGCGCGGGAGCAGGCGGGTGAATAGGGGAGGAAAGGTGGTATGTCGACTCAGGTATGGCGGGGCAATGCGCAGATGCGATGCGAAAAGTGTGAGGCGCCGGGTTGTAAGAGAGATGCCAGAACTCAACCCACACTTTGGTAATGAGCGCTGAAGCAACACAACCCAAGTGGTAAAAAGAAATTCTATGGACCAGTGCAGTGGCTTGACCTTTTTGTTGTTGTATGAAAGCTCCGCGAGGCCGGAGATGCGCAAACGAGGGTAGGTAGGATTCAAAAGGTGATTGCAAATCCATCCCCCACCACTGGGTTTTTTTGCAGAGTCAACGTCCCGCCGCTGACAGTGCAGTCGATCCGACTTGCGAAATCGGCACCCACTCAGTGGCGGGTTGGAAAAGGTGTACAGGAGACGGGCGGGCAAGCCCCCGCGGCATCGGCCAGCACCCTTACATTGTACACTAGGTACTGTACCCCTGAGAAGCCCATTGAATTGATTACAGGGGCTTCGGGTTGCAGCTGGACGCGCCTCTGTCCGTGCCGGAGGGCCGTCCAATGACGTCGGCCCGTCATAGCTTTGGTACGGACTGCGGGACCTCTTCCCTGAGGTCGTCTCAAGCGCGAGGGAAGCGTTATGATGCTCCAATACTACAGCAACATAAGCTCCAAAAAGCTGTATCTCATATAGCTCTCAAGCTTATCCATTACACTCGGATCATAGATCATAGATCATAGAGAGAAAAACTCAAGGACTGCTCATTCATCATCCCAATGGACGTACGACACTCCCCACTCCTCTTCTCGTGGAACTTGCTGACAGCTCTGCCATGAACAACAGGCGATATCAACCTTCAGCTTCGGCAACCTGGGCTGGCTCGCAACTCAGGCCATCCCGCTCATCATATGGCCGCGCTTCATCACCAATCTCCTCCGCCCCGATGACTACCAGCATGCCGCAGGCTGTGTGTTTTCCGTTTCCGTTTCCCCCTCCCCCTTCTATCCAACTCGGTTGAGCTCCGGCATTGACAATCACATTTAGCTCTCGAGGACTACTTTGCCCGCTCCCTAGGCTTCGCCCTCCTGACCCTCGGCCTCCTCGTCGTAACCCTCTCAGGGGCAGTACCCCTCGCATCCGAAGACCTCAGTAAGATGAATCCCCCCCCTTCTCCCCTCTTGCCCAAACACCCCTCAGCATTGCTCACACAATGCTCTCCCAAAAAGCTCCCGCGGGAACCGTCTCACCCTACGCAAACGCAGCCCTGGTTCTCTCCTCCATCCACCACGCCTCCGCCGGGTTCTATTGCTACAGCAGGTGGCTGAGGACGGGCCAGACGGCCTTTGCGCTCGGCTGCCTCGGCAGCACCGTGTTCGCCGTCTCCGGCCTCTGGTGCCTCATGTTCGCCGGCGACAAGTCACGTCGCAGCAAGAAACACGGCTACGACAAGGACACCAGCTCGTTCCCCTTCAAGAATACCGAGTCGTACCGATCCAAGAAGAAGGGCCTATAGAGAAAGTGTGTGTGTGGGTGTGTGCCAGCGCAACTCATCATAAATCAAAATGACAGTCAGCCGATGCTGTTAAATAGGCAGAGGGGATGTTTACTCGGTGAAATTGAGAGAGCGTGCCTGTGAACCTGTGGTTGAAGTGATTACAATTACACAGACATCATTTCTTCACACTTCATGCCTACAACAAAATCTGTATAAGACGGCACATTCAGTGCACAGGGCTATACAGGAGAAGGAACGAGATCGAGCAGCAAAGCAGTCGTATTACTGCCTTTTCAAATGCAGCAATTGAAACCCTCTCCTTAGTATACATACACTCCGTGCGCCGACTGCCCGCTCGCCACCCACTTGACTCCCGTGATGTTCGCCACCACCTCAAACGTCAAATTACACTTTCCATGCTCTTTGCTTCTGAGCGGGATGCTGTGGTTATCCTCGTCTCATTTGCACTTGCCGGACGCCTGCTTCATGTTGTCCCATGATAGCCTTAATGAGGGTGTGTGACGCTCTGCTTTCTCTTCCGCATTCTACCCTGTTCGGGCGGTGGTGTTGGTCCAAATAACTCGTCGTTTCTTGTAGATGCTTCGACTGCCTCAGCCACATCAAGCGCGCGCATACTATTACAGGCCTCAGGGTGCGATAAAAAAAAAGGTAGAAAGCCTTCGTACGGCCACAATAGACATATGGAACAGGGGGTTCAACCCATTCCCAGTGGCACTCTATCAAATTCGCCGAGATCGCCGTCCCAGTCGATACTTTTCAAATAACACTTCTCGTACTTCTCCCAGGATACCAAAGGCTGACTCTAACTAGCTGCGGCAACTTCGGTGGAGCTGGCTCCGTTTGCCAGAGTCGCTTCGGCCTTGGAAGGTGGTTGGGAGTCTGCGTCCTCTCCGTTGGTGGCTGTTTGGTTGCCCTCTTGGCTCTCCAATACGCCCGAGAGCTGGACGTCAGCTGCACCAGAGAGTACTGCTTGTCTACGTTCGTGCCAGTCGACCTCACTCTTCACAACCTGGGAAAAGAGAACCTCCTTCTCGCGCCAGAGGTCCTTGTACTGCTTTTCCCAATACTTGACTTCTTCCGCCAGCTTGACCGACTCCTCTTGCGCCCACTTGACTTGGAATCTGCAGAGCTTGTACAGCCTCTCGAGCGGTATCTTGAGCTCCTCGGAAGTAAAGCCGTGATCTTCAGTCAAGGGAGTGAAGAGGTCGGCAGAGAGCTCGTCGTCGTCTGCCCCATCATCGATGGCATCATCCTGTCCCGCGGCGTGTGACTGAGGAGTCTTGATGATGATCTTGAGCTTCCCCTTTCCTGTAGGGCCCGATTGCATAGATTTGGGGACAGGGTCGGAGGGACGCAAGGCCTCTGTCTCGTGGACGGTCCGCATGTGCTTGGCTAGTGCATCAGATCTCGTGAACGATCTATCGCATTCTGTCTACGAGTTAGCCAATGTGCTCTGCGGCCTTGGGAACGAGAATGACAAACCTGGTAAGTAGCAGTAGAAGGGCTTCTCCCTAGTATGGCTGCGCATGTGGGCTTTCAAGGCGTAACCACTGGCGTGCCCCATACTCTTCCTACTGCATCCAGTCCATTCGCATGTGTATTTCTTCTGCCGGCTTTCGATGTGATCGCTGTGAATGTGCTCCACCAACTTATCCATATTGCCAAAATCGCCCGCGTCGCAGCCTTCCCAGGCACACGAAGTGACCTGCTCTTGGAAGTCTTCCTCGTCAAGTTTGGCGTTGATTGGGGAGCTGGGAATGTCGCCGGAGGTGTCTGATGAGACATCCGACATGCCTTCCAAGGGATCCGGCTCAGGTACAGCTTCTTGTTCGGGTTCCGCGACCACCGCGGGAGATGTCGTTGAAGCGGCTCCCAGCTTCTGGCGCTTCGAAGGGCGGAGGAGGGATTCATCCTCGTAATCGTGAACCTCCTCTTCAGAGGCATCGCTGTTGTCCATTGAGGAAAGGGGTGATTCGGGCGGTGTCGAGTCTCCACGAGCCATGTTGCGCCGTTGGGTGATGGAAAACTAGCACTTCGAAAGATGCGGCAATGGATGGCGATGGGTTGTTCGATGGCTCAGGTGTAAGAATTATCGTGGCGAGAGGAAAAGAGATGGGGAACTGATAGGATGGAAGAAGGGTTATCTGTCGCTGTTGAAGAAAGAATGATGAATTGATTGGGAGGAGCCAGCGGGATGCAAGTCAATCGCTAGAAAAGCCACCACCGGCCTCGTTCTTGACAACTTTAATGATGTTTGCGCCTGGGCTCGATCCAGGCTGTCGCGACGAGCAGCGCGGCTCACAGAGCTCATCTGGTGGGTCCACGCACCAAACCAACTCTGCCAGGTGCCTCGGGCAACGTGAGATTCCACGGCCAGTGGTCGACAACTGTCAAGCAAGATGGCAGCCATCACCCCTTGCCAGTTGGTGCCCCACCCACCCGGGCTCACCCCCCTGCAGTTGTGACTCGGGGTCTCGACGAAAACAAAATAAAGCGACTTTGTTTAACCCCTCCCCCGCCATCAACACCCCCGACAGACATTCATTTTGCGCATTCGCTGCCACCTTGCTACCAGCTTTTCCAACACTCCTTGCTTATCAACAAATCCATCATGTCGACTACGCGCAAGGTGTTCTCTCTTGAGGGAAAGGGTCTCAAGCTCGATACGGGTGCCGACCTCGAACCCCACATCGCCGGGTTGCGCTCGACCGACGTCGAGGAGGTCAAGTTCCTGGGCAACACCCTGGGAGTCGGTGCTTGCAAGCTCCTTGGTGAGGTCCTGGCCACCAAGAAGAACCTCCAGGTAAGCGGACGAGAATTCCATATGTCCAACCATCCCGCTAATCATAAGTAACCAACCAGTCCGCCGATCTTTCCGACATTTTTACCGGCCGCCTCCTGAGCGAAATCCCCGAGGCCCTGTCCTCGCTCCTTACCTCCATTCTCAACCTTCCTAAGCTCACGACGATCAACCTGAACGACAATGCTTTTGGTATCAACACCCAGGCCCCTGTCGTCGCTTTCCTGGCTGCCCACGTGCCCCTGCAGCACCTTTACCTGAACAACAACGGCCTCGGCCCCCATGCTGGCATTCTGGTGGCGGATGCGCTCTCTGAGCTGCACGCCAAGAAGGAGGCGGCGAGGAAAGAAGGAAAGGAAGTTCCGTACCTTGAGACTGTCATTTGCGGTCGCAACCGTTTGGAGAATGGCAGTATGCAGGCCTGGGCTAAGGCCTACAGCCTTCACAACAAGATCAAGGAGATTAGGATGATTCAGAACGGCATTCGTCAAGAGGGAATCAGCCACCTCATCAGTGAGGGCTTGAACAACGCAACCGAGTTGCGCATCCTTGATCTCCAGGACAACACCTTCACCACAAATGGCGCCAAGGCTCTGGCCGGAGTCCTTCCCACCTGGACAAACCTGCAGGAGCTCGGCCTCAACGATGCCTACCTTACGCCCAAGGGCACCAAGACTGTCGCCAGGTCTCTTGCTAAGGGCAAGCAGGACAAGCTGGAGATACTTCGTCTGGCTTTCAACGACATTACCCCCAAGGCACTGGAAAGCATCGCCAGCGTCGTCACTGAGTCTCTGCCTGCGCTGAAGAAGGTTGAGCTCAACGGCAACAAGGTTGAGGAGGAGGACCCTTCTATCATCGCCATCCGCGAGTTCCTCGAGGAGCGCAAGGAGAAGATTGGTGGCGACATAGTTGATGAGGACGCTTGGGGACTCGACAGCCTCAGCGACCTCGAGGGAGAGGACTCTGATGATGAGGAAGAGGAGGAATCTGAAGAGGAGGAGGACCTCAATGCTGAGAAGGAAGCCGAGATCCTCACCAAGGAGGCTGAGGAGGCACAGGAGGAGCCAACCGTCCAGCTCAAAGACAAGGAGGTGGACGATCTGGCCAAGAAGCTGGCCAAGACGGAGCTCTAGAGATGTATGGATCACTTTCTTTGGTTTAAAGGTTTAGATGACGGAACGCAAGAGGAATGCCCCCCCATATACAGGAGTGAGGACACAGAGACGATACCCCCCCAAAATTACACTTCATCCCAAACAGTCTTTGCGTGGCTATTCCGTGCAGATTATTTCCTAATCTGCAACATGTCGGTTACTGGCCGATCCGGAAATCGAGATCGTTCCCCCAGGTAATGAGGCCTGTCGTAAACATGTGGCATGTCTGGGGCAGCGCCAACCCCGTTCGTCAGTCCACAATCACCCCATGAAGCCGGCATCCGTGGGTATGCCAGGTCACAAGATCGGCACAATGGAATCGCGTGAGCTTAGATACCAGTATATAGTAGACGAGAAACTGTGCCATCCTGCCAGGATTACAGTTGCGAAAGGAAAAAAAAAACGAGCACATTTCACGAACAACTGGAAACATATCGCACATTGCATTGACAATCCCAAGCTAGCGTCATGGACTACCTCTTCAAAACGACGGACTCTGTCATTGAGATCCTGTGGGACGTTGCACTGGCCTTCTTCATTGTCCGCATCGCACTGGCTTATTTCTTCCTTACGTTCGCAACAAGCACGCTGCTCTCTTGGATCGTCTACACATACCACCAAAACCTAGTGCTTCCTCTCGTCTCTGACCAGCAGCAGCAACAACAACACCACCTCACAACATCACAAACGGGGTTTGTCCTGGCCCCGATCCTCCAGGCCATTGTGGGACTCGTCGTTGCGCGATACATCGTGGTGGCCTACGACGTACCGCGCGTAGCGTGGTTTCGGCTCGCCATCGGAGGCCTGGCGGCGGCGTTCCTGGTCAGCGCGGCGGCGTTACTCGGATTGGCGATGTACATGTACGAGGGAGGGTATGGGAGGGACTGCTGGGTTTGGGAGGAGATGGACTGGTGGGTGTTGGCCGCTCTACTGGGCGGAACTGGGGTCTTTGCGGTGACGCCTACGGCGTTGATGGGGTTTGAGAGGGTTGAGCTGAGGGGGAAGATGGGCATGCAGGGGCTCGACAGCAAGGGGGCTTGAGGACCAGGGGAAGGGGGTTGTTAAGTCGGGCTGTCGGGGAGCCTATGAATACCGAGCCCCAATACCACCTTCGTTCACAATGTAAGGAAGAGAGATACGCTAGGAGACGAGACAGAGATGAAAAGAGAATCATCGGGGGTCTTTGTTGGATTGTTGGAGTCTTTGCCGCCCTGCATGTAAGTGAAGTCCTCGAGTCACCTCAGGCACCTCTAGGAGGATATTCGCGATGGTGAGCGCTGTGGTTGGGTCGTCTAGAGTCGGAGTTGAGATTACCTTTGATTGCCTTGCATCAATCAGCCTTCAGGTCGCTGTCGCCGAGACCGTGGGACAAGACTATTGGGTGGCGATTCTCTTCAATCGCTAAAAGGAGAAGTATACCCAAAATAATGAATTGCAGATTCGCTCGTTGTTTGAACCGGCTTATCAGCCGAGACATTGTTCTCAGGGGCGGCGCAGCGCTTGGTTACCAACCATGTGCTGGCGTGCAATCCAGCGCGGTAGATTTGGTCTCTGGAATGTTATGGCCTGCCTACCTTGGTTTGGTTAAGTCTTCACTCTCGTGGCGGTGCTTGCCCTTGACTCCTGCTTCCTTGAGTGTCTGGAGGGCGACAATTGTGCCCTGAGAAGATGCGTAAATGATGGCTCACATCATGATGCTGTTGTCAGCGGATGGGTGATGGGAGAAGCATTCGATCTCATCCACAGTTGAGGTGAGGTGGGATGAATGACAGCTGTCAGCAGGGCGGTGGAGCGAGTTTGGAGGTACAAAAATGTCAGGTCGCCTGTGCACTTCGGGCACTCCCGCCGCGCTGTGCTGCGTGAGTGGCAGGGTTCATTCTTCAGTGTGTCGCAGGGGCCCCGGGAAAAGCGGGGCAAATACCCGGACCCAGGCACATCTGCCACCTGCACCTGTCCGACCTCCGACCTCCGACTACCACCGTACCACGTTCTCGATCCATCCTTGCGGCCTGCTCTCCTTTCCCGAGACTTGGACGACATCCCCCTTATCCAATCTCCCAAAAAAAAAAAAAAAAAAAAAAAAAGGTCAAGGAAGAGAC